TAGAAGACTTTTTCTGACCAAGAGTGAATCGGATGATTTTGCTTTGAGATGAGTCCCTGGGAGATGCACTGTATGACAAGAAAGAAAAAGTGGAAGATATCATTGAGCAACAACTTTCTTTTTAAAGCCACTGCACTTAGTTACCAGTTGCAGGGAAGAGGGAGTTTATGCTCTTCGCCTAAGCTTAATTTCAGGCCAAAACTCTTTAAAATCAATTATTTTTATACAGTATGATAGAATATGTATATAGATGCAGTTTTGTGTGCCAATTCACATTTTTTTTACTCTTCTCAGTTTTTTACTATATATGATTTCTTCAGAATCTGTGCATTTTCAGCTTATAATATACCGTATGTTATATTTCACATTCTCATGTTAAATAATTTTAAATTTCTTGAAACCCAGCACAAACCATACAATGGACAGAAAATACCAAAGCCATACTGAAATGATCCTATGATTCTGGTCATGTTTTTTTGTCACAAAAGTAACAAAAATACATTCAGATGTCTCCTCATTTGATGATGGTTATTTCCTGTACAAGCTTATACACGCTGTAACAACATTGTGCTTTTCAATTACACAAATAATTGTTTCCACTTAAAATGAGCATGGTTCATTATGACTCAAGGAAAGCCCGAACAAGATCTGAGTAGCATCTCTCTTGGAAGGCTTCACTTGATCTGTCTGTATCCCTCACAAAGCAGCACGTAAGCTAGTGTTCATCTTAGTGAGTTATTTTAACACAAATCAGCCTTAACTTAATTTGTGATGGTTTGAAACAAATAAGCCTTCACCAGTAACTGTGCAAACATGACTTCAGCCTTTCATCCTGCCCACTAAAATGCTCACTCTGTTAAGGGGTCAGATAAGCAGGCTGCAATTGTAATCACAGTGCTACTGACTGTGGCTTTTATTTTAACCTGCAAAGAGCTCCATTAGGACTGAAAACATTTAAGGCACAAACACTCCCTCTATTCTGACCTAGGAGAGCCAGAGAACACCAACAGTGCCATTTTTTTAATGTAAGCCAGCAACTTATTTTTGATCATTAGGCCTAGATTTGATTTTGAGTGTCACCAGCTGTGATGAGTTCTATTTCTTTTACCACGGTTACAGCCTAATACCATTTCTTAATGAGGAATAATACTCTTGTAAATAGAGAACTCTAGGTTGGCCTTCACACATCCAAAGTATGCTCTGTAGCAGCAATAACATAACACGCTTTGAGAGTGGAAAGAAATAGAAATGAATAATTAGAAGAATGCCCTTAGAAAACACTGTGGTCTTGCTGGTATTCTGCACTCATTGAACTGAGCATTTCTAACACAGAGAACATATTTAAGCATGTGTTTTGATTTCCAGAGGTGTGAAGTCAACTGCTACCCAGCATTCCCCTTCCAACACCTCATTCTGGAGAACTAAGGAAAGCAGGCTTTTGAAGGCCTTTGAGAAGAAAACCAAGCAAACAATGAAAAGACCAGCTTCAAAAGAAATTTCCCCACCTTGACTGCATTTCTGGTTGTGCTTTGAACGGATGCTGTACAGCTTGCTGGGGCTGTTGGCACTGAGTCTGGAGCGAAGCTGGCACTTGCTGCTGCTGCGGCCCAGCCTGGCCCTGAGATGCAGGCCCTGCTTGCAGGGACACGGAGGGAGCTGGCTGGGACAGATGGTGCTGTGCTGGCTGTTTCTGCGGCTGCTGCTGCTGTTGCTTGTATCGAGACAAACTGAAGAAGAGGCCCAGGATGGCCTTTAGATTCCCATTCCGGATTTCTGTAAGGCAATACACAAAAGTCACTCATCAGCCGCCAGCAGTTGTTTCTTTCTGACAGAGCAGTGGATTGGTCACTGCGCCCTTCACAATGCTGTCAGGACTCCATTCCTCTAGGATATGGCAGACTTCTGCAAACCTCATCAGCACTGCTGCTGACTACCAGTGAGCCAAATCTTCAAATAAATAAGTGATTTCTCCCATGCAGTGACAGCAACGGATGCTGGCCATTTCTGCTGCTTTCTGCATGTTAGCACCACTGCGCTTAAAAAGTTAATTCCTTTAAATAATCCCTTTAAAGTAAATCAAACAAACTAACCAACCGATCAAAAAATACCACAACAAATGTATTAACGTCACACCGTAAATGATTTCATAGTCTTAAATTTGCACGAGCAAGTGAAACCAATCAATTACCATGCTGCATTGTATCATTTCTGGAATACCAGCCTAATTGTTTCCATCAAGATCTGGGCCAACTTACATGTTAGAAAATACTGTTACCGTGAATTGCATAAGTAAATAAAAACCATCAGCTGGACTTTTGCCCTCATGCACAGACCACCTGAGTTAGCTCTACTACATGGAGCAGTGCAAGACGGATGAGAAGGACGTGCAAGCCTGGAGCCAAGCATAAAGGCAAGACTTAGCACTCAGATTTCTGTTCCCAGTTCTGAATGAAGGCTTGCTTCACGTTGTACTGGGCTCTGCTCGATCCTTTATTCCCTCTCCCAGCCACTTTTCTTTTCATCTTTTCTGCGTAACAAGCTTCTGTTTTCAATCCTGACCCCTTACCCAGCAAATATCTAGCTCACGTCTTAAGATTTTGCTCCACTTTCTGTCCTAACTTCCAGCTTTGGCCTCCTTGCCTTCTTAAATCTCAATCTAATTTTCCTTCCCAGCAGCTAATCTCATTTGTTTGCTTCCTTCATTTTGTTCTGGCCCATACTCACCTCTAGTCACTCTTCACCCTTTTCCACGTGGTCCTGGCCATTACCCAGACCCAGGGCGTTTCTCTCCCTTCCCTTCTCTCTGAGTTGATTTCTCCTCCCCACAGCCCAGTACCTCCACATGCCCTCTGCCACCACTACCACCATTCTCCTCTTTACACGAATATCAGTCCCAGGGCCTGGGTGAAAAGCCGTTCCCTGTCTTCCTTAGTTTTCTTGACCAAATTAGTCACTTCCTGGGTAGCGGGATCCCCTTTCTTCCCCTGCTCACATCTAACCCTAACCCCTGCACAGTGTCCTAACCCCAGGCCTGACTCCTCCCACTGGCACCGACATGAGGCACTCGGCTTGTCTAATCTGCTTGTGTTTGTCGAGGGAGGACACGGCATGGAAGGAGACAATAAAGCAAAATAGACACAAAAGACAGCAAAGCACAGTGAAAAGCATCTTATCTTCAGTAAAGAACTCAGTTTACTGATGGAACCATCAGGAACGTATCACTTAATCATGGGGCCATGACTAAACAGACCCAGCAGCACCAGGAAGCTGAACTGCACAAACACAGGCCAGAAGATAAAAGGAACTCCAACAAGCCTACACGTGTAGACTTAGCAAAACTCCACGCAACTGGAAACAGGGTCCTGATTTCACTGTGAAGTGAGAGGTGACTAAAACAACAACTTCAACTAAAACCCATGCCCTTCTGTGGCCGTGCATGGGAAGAGAAACCTGCTTTTGGCATGTTCAACACGACAAAAAACAATAATCACAAGAAAGCCATGTTTAATGAGTTTCAAAAGCAGCAGCCTCTCTCCCTCCAGCTTTTAAGTAACACATTTCAAACCAGACTTCTAAAGGCAGCTCTCTTATCTCAGTGACAGACTGAGGGAATTCACCTGGCAGCTTGCCCCTGCCCTTTGCACTAAAGGAGAACTTCAGCCCCACTGTGTCCTGCGGTCCGAATCTGCTTCCTGCCTCCCATTTTGAAGAAAATCCATACAAATCCACCCTCTGGAAATTTCCATGCTGTCTTATGTATAGATTTTTCATGCGTAGAGATAGTGAACGTGAACACTTTGCGCAAGCCACTGATGGTTGGCCACTGAGGAATTCTGCACGCAGTCCCCCCCAACCTGTCTTCATTCACAGGTGAGAGACAATGGTCTTCTCAATTTCCACAACATCCCACACAAAATCTCCACAGAACACAAGCCAGAGATGCTAAAAAAATAAGTAACTTGTCAACCCAAAGGAATCTTAATACACAGGCTTAGTGCGGTAGAACCAAAACCTGGCAAGATGTAAGTGCCCTCTCAGGTACGTGTCAAATAGCACTGTGGGGTATTTGTGCTGTGGAAACAAAAATCCCAGCTGGAACGGGCTGCCCAGGGACTGAGTCACTGTCCCTGGAAGTGTTCAAGAAGCACTTAGATGTGGTAATAAGGGTTTAGTGGGGAGATACTGGTGGTAGGCAGATGGTCAGACTAGAGGCTCTTGAAGATCCTTGCCAACCTTGGTGAGTCTGTGATTCCAGAAAGGAACTAAAATGGATTTATTGCAATACTGCAGAGTGGATACACTGAAATCCATTTACCTACAGAAGCATGTTAATTCCAGAGGCAAAAGCCCAAGTTCAATAGAGGTAGTTCCAAAGTCTAGCAAGCTGTTTTCTTTCATTGCTTTATGGTCTCATGATCTGCTCAGCTGATGGTTATCCAGCTAATCTGTTACCCAGAGGAGGTGCAGCCTCTACCTGTGAATTCGAGTTTTTACTGCACGTTTATATTCTTCATAATCTTCAAAATCTTGCCAGAGAGGAAACTGTGTGTGAAGGACGGCAAGCTTAGCTGGGCAGCAGCAGTTCCAGGTGCCTCGAACCCAGCAGCGTGCAGAATCACAGATTCTGTGCAGGAACAACAACAACAACAAAAAAAAAGAAAAGCAGCAGCAAGGGGAGAAAAGGCCCCTGCAGCATCTCCGTTTTATTCATTTCATTTCATTATTTCATTTTAGCAACTGGGAATAAAGATTTTAGAATGTAAAATCTTTGCAAAGGGCATGCCTTTCTGGATCCATGCTGCTGGGCTGAGGGTCTACCAGTAGCATACTGAGGTCATCATCAGAGATTGCACCTTCATTGCCTAGATCCATGAACACACTATTCCTGTGTCACACCAGAAGGGTATTACACATGAAGCGTGTTTCAACACATAGGAATCAACTTCCCTCCATAATAACACTGCACTGTTGAAAAATGCATATTCTTAAGAGACTCAGGAGAGGTGTCAATATTTATTTCCGTTTGGAAGCAATCACAATCTTTTACTCCCTCCTGGATGAGAACATGCTGGTGGAGTAAGCACAAGCATTTACAATTGACCTAGCAGGTCTTTGCAAATAACTTGTGCAGAAATACAAGCTCGCTTGGTTACAGCAAGCTCAATTTTAAGTGATTCTGTGTTCCCTACTTCCGTTTCCCTCTTCCTTCTCAGCACAGCTGAGAATGGACTCTCCAAATTTTCTTGCTGAATTCCAGTCTTTTAACTTCATTTTATCAAAAGCAATCCTTCTCTCTCCTCTCTTCAGACATCATTCTTTTCCTTCAGCATTAGTGGTAGAGCCAGTAAATGTTCTCATTCTTAAGCTGGCAGCAAACATCACTGGTCTCTTCCCAGCTTCCGTACAATTTAATATGTTAGTTCCTAGAAAGAGGAAAATGTGAGAGCATAAAGGAAAGAAAGAGAGAAAATTCAGCAGAAGCCACGGGATAACCGACATCCTGCTGAGTCTGACTTGTGATTTGGCAGGACAGCAATGAACATTAAACACGTTGTCTGCTCCCCAGTGTGAATGCTACACTGCCAGCTTAGCATGCTGACAGTTTTCTCATCAACTCATCTTCTGGATAATGTGAAATATGTAACATTTTTGCCCTACTTACCACATCACAATTAAAATTGGCTTTCACTATGGACTCAAAGCTGCATTTTGTTTAATCATTTCCTGAGAAGTTTTAGCTCACAACTCTCTTCTTGACTTGAGAACTCAGACTGGAACGGAACTATCTCAGCACAGAATGCAGGCAGTGCTTGGGCTGACCATGCCACAGCTTCACTTGGGAGGAAAAGATTTATTTGTGGGTATTCTAATCAGCCAGCTCTTCTACTAGTTGTGGTAACATCAGGTTAGAGTAACATGTACCAAACAGCTGCTACTTTGCCTCCCATGCTTACAAACCATCACAAACTTTGTGAAACGATATGTAAACACACACGATAAAGTGGCTGGTAGGATCTCACAGCCCAAGATAATGTAGGGTTGTCATTTAGAGGACAGCGAGGAATTCTTTAAGCTATTCTATTCTCCAAATTGCCAAAATGTAATTTTTAGTTACAGTTTTAATAACTGGTTTAAAAAAAAAAAAAAAAAAAAAGTTTTCAATTTCTTGTATTTTTTAACACATTTGACAAGTATAATGCATATATGTAAAACTGTACATGATGGTTTCACCATGAAGTTCATCCACAGCTGTAATCTGCTCGTACGTTTCATAAAAAGCACTGACTCTCAGTAAGGGAAACCTGGGTTCAGAGAAGACTTGGAATCACAGTCAGAAAGCACACAGCTCAGATTAAGAAAGAAAACATACTCAAGAGAAAACAGTACTAAACTAATCAGAATAATGTTAAATCTAAATTAAGTATGAACAGTATTTTCAGCTGCTTGAAAGTCCATTTTGTGAAACAAATGTGGAAGCAGCTATTTGTCAGCACAAAAATTACTATTAAAATGTTTTGATACAAGCAGGACTAACATTAAATACATTCCATCACCAAACTACCATACATTTATATTTTCAGGGGGACAAAAAAGTGACCTAACTGAGGTGTTCCTGTTCTAGCAGGGGAACTGGACTAGATGATCTTTTGAGGTCCCTTCCTATCCCTGACTTTCTGTGATTCTGCAATTCTTTAGGAATCAATAAACTTTATTCCACAAGGGGAATTCCTTTCCTCAGCATTCAGCAAATGTGAAATGCTCACCTTGTCTCTGGTCCTTAACTCCACATCCACGAACGCTCATGGGCACTGGCAACAGGAGAGCCAAGGCCCAACAAGGGAGGATTCTCTCTGCCAACTGAGAGAACCTCTGCTCTTTGCAAATCTCTATACATGACTTATAAGACTATCTATCATTCATCCTTCCTGCTTTCATTCCATTTTTAAAGGAGGAAAGCTGTGTTATACTTGCGATTGTATAAGTATACACAAAGTTTACAGGCAGAAGACTTCAGACCATCCAGAAAAATTAAAGATATGCCCATGTTTTTGGGCACAGAAATTCTTTCGGGCCTCTGAATATGAATTGTTGCCTATTTTTCCATTTACACTAACTATTCTAACAAGATATATTAGCTTGACTACTGACCTGGGACCAGATGAGATGCGATTCATTTTCTTCCTATCAGCTCCCGGTGCTGTGCTATGGACTGGTAACCAAACCAGCCTTTCTGCTGTTGCTGAGCAGCACCTGCACAGCCTCAAGGCTCTCTTTTCCCAGCCTCAAAGAAGCTGCAGGTTGAGAAGAAGCTGGGAGGAGACACAGCTGACCAAAGGGAGATTCCTTTGGTAACAACATGCTCAGCAACAAAACACAGGGCGGAGAGGTGCTGGGTATGCACCAAGGAGGAGGTGTCATACATACACCTAAGGCTGGCTGAACTACCAAACCCACCTCCTTCTGCAGCATGCTTAAACACAGAGGTGAATGCTGGTGATGAGAATTAGGGAGATGTGTCTGATCTTTTAATGAGACAGCAGTCAGCTTCTGAGCCACCAGGCACCATACATCCTGACGTACATCATGTACTGACAGGGAAGAGCACCACACACACACACAGCCATTTTCTGGTTTTGAAAAATTCTGGTGCTCCTCATAAACAAAAGCAATGAACTCAAGGTCGCTACCTTTTTCTTTGGGTTCAAAACATTTGTTGTGGGTTGTTTGGTGTTTGTTTTTTTTTTGTTGGCTTGGAAACAAACTTCTAAATATCTCAATCAAAGGTAACTAAATAGTTGAAGAATGATCAAATAACTTCTCTCTCAACAAACAATCCCCATCAGTTTTAAAGTCATATGAATTCTATGCTCTAATCAGTGCACCAATTACAGAACTTAGATGAAAAACTCTCCGCTTTTTAACAGACATACACAAAGACATTACTGAATTAGAATAATTATTTGTACAAGTCAGCGGAGATGAGAGGTGTATTTCACTTACCTTGCATAGTGAGATGGGGGGAAAAAAAAGGAGGAGTTAAAAACTTTAAGTTACCCATATTTAATCCTCCATTCCATGGCACGTGATACAGTCACAAGCAACAATTTCAGTTTGTTATTTAAAATGACATTTTAAAGTAGGGATTGACTCACCTTCCGCTGACAGCCCCTGTATATTAATCCCCTTAGCAGCCAGGAAACTCAGGCATGCGTCTATGTTTTCAATCTGCTCACGAGCAACAACAAAAACAACAACAAAAGGAGACACAAAAGAATATGCATTGTAATAATTGTTTATGTTAATTTCCCGCCACCCTTTATTGCATTCAGTCTTCATGTCACACAAAAAGTCCCTTTGCTCATATTGTGGAAGCAGTAACAATGTGATGTCTCCTAAGTTACTAAGGTCCTACACTGATGGAGCATTACCAAGCTCTGGACTATGTGTACGTGAATGAAGCACATTATTTAATGCTCTAACCACGACAGATGATCACTATATGTCTCATTAAAGGAGCAAGGACCTTATGCCAAAATTTTTAACCTACAATAGTGTAATGAATGTGAAACTGAAAATAAACACGGAAGCCACATTTGCTTGAGAAGGCAGATTGCCACTTGCTCTTAAGTTGACAGCTGGCAAAAGTTTCCATCCACAAAAGCAGTCAAATATAAAAACTGTAACTGAAAACCCCAAGTGGAATCCAAAAAATATTTACCCACTGCATTCTCCGCAGGTCAGAAATGACAGGCAACCCCGGTCTCCCACTGAGGGGTATATCCTGCCCTTCAGAGAGATGGTACAACTAACAGCGCTGAATTGCATGGGATAAAATGCATGTTGATCAGACAGTATCTGCACAACGGCTCTGCACTTTAATGACTACAATTGCTACACACAGACTGGATTACATCCAACTGACAAAGTGAATACTAGGAAGGTTGGAAGACTTGGGTGTTTTTCGCCTGTATCTCAATATCACTGCAGAGATCTAGCTTTATTTTCATAACCAATTTCCCTCCAAGCCCTGTTGTAGTATCAAACAACACAGAGGTGCCAGCCCCTGCAGACCAAAGCACTTCAATCAGAAACCTAATCCTGGGTACCCATAGAACTCACACCAAAAAAAAACCCCAAAACCAACAAAAAAGCCCTTACAACATTTTAGAAAATATCATGTAGTGCATGTGAGGTTTCACATTAGTCTGTCAGATAACAGCAATGCATAATTTTTGCCGTGCAAGTATCCTTTTGACCTGAAGTTTTGAGACATATAAAGGGACGGGAAAACCCTCGTTTACACATCAGCTCTTGCCTGCACTTCAAAAAAAAAGACAAAAACGAGGCTGTCAGTATTTGGGTGGCTGAGCTGCCATCACCTGATCTGTGCTTTCTGTCCTTCTCTATGTAATATTAAAATAAATAAAAAGTACAAGGGAAGCCATCAGAAAATCTCCAGGGTAGTTTCACTTATTGCTTGTAACAATAAAAACATTTTTTTCTATCAGGGCAAGAAGAAGTTACTGGCACTACATAACTGGGACTTCAACAGTTCTAAAAAGGGTGATGTGAGGAGGTTGGTAGAAGTTTGGAATATCCTTTGACAACAGACTGCCAAAATCAGATGCGTACCAGGTAAGAGACTGCCTGTAATGTTCAGATCTGAAAGTCCATAGCAGGGTGTAGGTCCAAAGGTTCATTTACCCGCAGTTCGGCATGCGCCAGCAGTCCAACTGTTTTAGTTTCCTTCCTCATGGTTTCAACACAGCTCTTTTATTGATGTGACTTGGGACTGGAAAGCCAAAGTCCACCATTTCAAAAATAAACGCCACACAAAAACATCCATCTTCCCACCTCTTGTGCCTAATGAAACTTCAGCTTTCATTGCTCCAAGAGCACTGCTAGTCTTCCACAACTCTGGGTAGATTTCTCCTCTTCTAGTAAGGAGATTTGCTCAGGTAAGTAAGTAAGTAATGATAAGCAAAATCTTTATAAGAAAATAAACTACGATGATAAGATCTTGTACAGATTTGCATCTATAAGGAATTCACAAAAAAGAAAAATAGAACTGAAAGATAAAGACACAGCAATTATTCCATCAACATTTATGCAATATTATCTGTGGTACTGGCGCGCAGCATAATGATAGCAATGTAATAACTATTTGAAGGAGAAAATAGAGCTCAGTAAGGAAAATAAATGCAGGGAAATTCAAGAAAATGAAAGAAGGCAGGTCTATAGCTGGAATAATTAAGATTTACCCTTGGTAGAAATTCAGGGTGCTTCCCATGCAATGGCTGGTGCCTCACACAGAAACAACCTGTGTCTGCCATCCAGCTGCAATGGAAAAGGGCTCCCAATCCACCTGGCACTCCAGAGTCTCAGAAGAGGAAAAAGGATCCAGAGCCATCAATGGCTCCATCAGGTTGCCATCTCCTGCATCCCGGAGCTGCCCAGGATGAAAACAGCAATGTTCTGATGCAAAATTTGAAATTAAGGAAGCTGAAATATTAATATGTCAAGAAGCTTATGGTGTAAATAGTTTTTTTATGACCAGTAGCCTGAACGAAAAACCCTTAACTTGGCCTATCACCTCACCTTAAGCATTAGTAAAAAAGGAGGAGGAAAACCAGGAACAGATGTCAGCCCCTGGCTGGAAAAACAGGATTTAAAAATTAGAAAACGCACATATGTACTGATTTCTAAACACTTCATAAAGGATATCCCCTTGCACATCGTAGCTCTCGTTCCCAGCAGACCTTTATGCTCCTCATTCATTCCTAGCTTCTACACTTCAGTACAACACTTCAGTATGCACAAATTTAACAACTTCATTCATTTAATTCTCAGTGTGCTATTACTTTCCTGGGCATATGACTCAGTTTCCCCTCTATTTTCAAATGTACCTTACAGTAATTGTGTACTTCTGGCAATGCTGGCCACAACACCCACAGATGTTTTTGTGCTTGTAATAGAATACTATTTTCTGCTTCTATTCTTGTCCAGTGCTAGAAAGAAAGGGAGCTAGGAAACATGCCCTGGCCTGTAGAAACAAAACAGAGCACACCAGAAACAAACAAACAAACAAACACCCTCATTCTGTAATATGTAAATGGACACCCAGCATGGCACTGCTGTATGCTGAATGCTGGTGGTACCAAAAAGAGACCTGGATATGCAAAGTGTCTACACCTAAAGCGGCACATTCAAGTCTGCCAAGTCAAACAGACCAGAGTAAATCCCAAACAGTACTGCCCTTCTGACAGATACAGATGTTCCTCTACAACAAAAATCAGAGCTAAGCTTCTCGTAGGCTCCTTCACCTAGGAGCCATGGGAAGTTTCTCATTAAGCAAGACCTCTGCTCCCTGTTTTTACAGTGATAGATGTGGAATTTTCATGAGTTTATCATGAAATACCACTAGTTGTATCAAATCCAGTACTATACATTTAACTTTCACCTCCGTGTTATGCACATTAGTTCTCAGAGGAAGAAAATGAAGATTGATTCATGTAAAATGTTTGAAAGTTTCTGAAGCTCTTATGCAATACTACAACAGACTTCACATGCAACACAGAAACAAGGGAAGGGCCTAACGTGAGCTGATGACAGCAAGATGTTTCTGAATGCAGAACGTGTACCTTGTCCTTATTTTCAGACCGAGCATGAATGCTTAATACTTTTTACAACACAGAGTGTACAAAGAGCCTTAACATCTTGCATTGTTTCCTACACATAGTTCTTTCCAAAATGGCCTGGAATACTACATAAAACAATATATATAAACCATATACAACAGATTCTCAATCATTACACGTGGGATCAGAGGACATCAGAAGGAAGGTTGAGGGAACTGGGCTTGTTTAGCTTGGAAAAGAGAAGGCTCTGGGGAGACCTCATTGTGGCCTTCCAGTACTTGAAGGGAGCATAAGAACAGGAGAAGGAACAGCTGTTTACGAGGGTAGATAGTGATAGGACAAGGGGGAATGGTCTTAGCCTGAGACAGGGGAGACTTAGGTTAGATATTAGGAGGAAGTTTTTCACACAGAGGGCGGTGACACACTGGAGCAGGTTGCCCAAGGAGGCTGTGGATGCCCCATCCCTGGAGGCATTCAAGGGCAGGCTGGTTGTGGCTCTGGACAGCCCACCACCCTGTGGCAGTAGGGGTGAAATTAGATGATCTTTAAGGTCCTTTTCGACTCAGTCCATTCTATTGATATTTGTGCTCCAGCCTGGATCTGGGCCTGGATCTCCTAGATAAATCCTCCAGCTTGTCCTAACTGGGACAGGCTGCCCAGTGGGGTGGTGGGGTCACTCTCCTTGGAGGTATTCAGCTAATGTGTAGATGTGGCACTGAGGGATGTGGTTAGTGGGCATGGTAGGGATGGGTTGGGGTTGGACTTGGTGATCTTTTCCAACCTTTATGATTCCATGAGCTGATCCAAATGTAATGCCTCGTTATTATCTTATTTTTTAAACACTGGCCCACAAAGTCAGAGGCAGTTATGGGCAGTATGTCAGTAGAGGCTGGCAGTGGGCAGCAGAGGTGGGCAGTACAGCAGCAGAGCTTGAACCTTCCCACCAATATCCCATTACTTTTTGTTGCAATCTGACACAGTGGTATCTGACATGGAAGTGCACATGAAGAAATGGTGTGGCATTCAATTCCTCCGCACGAAGAAACTGGCAGCCACTGACATTCATCAATGCTGAGCATTTATGGTGACCAGACAGCGGATGTGAGCACAGGGAGCTGGTGGGCAGTGCATTTCAGCAGTGGTGACAGTAGGTTACCTTCGCTGGTGGAGATTTTCACAAGCGTGGCATGAAGGCTCTTGTTCACTGCTGGTGAAAATGCACAGCTAAAGGTGGTGACTGTGTTGACAGAACAGAGTTTTATAGCTGAGAACTTGCTCTGTCAAATCATGTTGTGCTCTCTGTAACTGTTGTAATTTCCATGGAAATAAATAAGCAGTATTACTTTTGGAGCAATCTACGTACGTAAAAATCATCCTAATTAAAGCAAAAATATAAGATATTCTAGATACATACTGTCTTCTACTAATCAAAAGAACCATTCTCATACAGCTACAGTATATGAGTAATGGCTGGAAACCTAAAATTTGTGACAAGGC